TGGTGGGCCTGGGCTGGGTTTGAACCCGCCACCTTAAGTGTATGTGGCTGGCGCCTTAGCCACTTGAGCCACAGGCACTGAGCCAGAGCAATAGTTTTCAATTGGGAATACTTTTGCCCCACTGAGGACATTTGGCATTGTCTGGAAACATTTTTAGTTTTTACAGCTGTTGGTAGAATGGTACTGGCATCTGGTTCTGTAGGCCAGAGATGCTGCTGTACATTCTAGAGTGTACAGGACAGTCCTCCCAAAAGAAAGAGTTGTCTGGCCTAAAATGTCAATGGTGCCAAGTTTGAGAAACTGCCTTTGAGTTTGTCCAAGTCTTAAGTTTATGTGTATTCTGCCTTGAACTGTACTGATTTGTTTATAGACTTTGTCTCTCTATCTCAATTGAATTAATGGGTAAAGAGGAACTCCAGTTCTAAATCTGTGCTTTCTTGTTATTCACACCATATCAGGGTTTTATCCTAGAGCCTGTGGCCTGATCCTGACTGCTCTGTTGAAGGTGTTTTGTAAATTGTAAAGTACTGAGATGATTACTCTTTTAGCCACTGTTTATAGGTAAAAAGAGAAAGGATGTGAGTCTGCTTGCTTAGATGTTCTCCTGACTACCTTTCCACCCCATCCCCTGGCCACTTCTTGCTGCTTTCTAACCATAACTACTAAAGCACTAGCTCCAGTTGACCCCTTCCGAGTCTTTCTCCCAAGTATACCTCTTGTGTTTGCTGCCTTCATTCTGTTTGGGTCGTCTGTCTATAATCTTGGCAAAAACAAAAGTGGTTGATTCTGCCCCTGGAATAAAAACTAGTGGTTTGGTGTTAAGACATCCTGGCAAAGTCTGACAAAGGCCAGATTACTTTGGTCAGGGGAGAAAGCTACAAAACAAGACAGCTTACAGTTTAGAAAGCCAATGCTTTCTTATTCTTAGTCTTTTTAAAACTAATAAAGCAGTGCTTTTAAACACTGGAAATGTCAGTAAGCTTTCTCTGACTAATGGGCATAGCTTAGGGTGAGATAAAAGCCTGACACCCTCTTACCTTTAAGGTCATGTCAAGTATACTCTCCTGCTGATTTACCCAGTGACCTTCAGCTAGTTGTTAAACCTCAGCATGCTGGGACCACTCAGGATTGTAGTAAGGGCTATATCAGTTACCCTGGGAAAAAATGTAATGTATTACTACTTTTATAGGGAGTTTCCTATCAGGGCTAAGATCATCCTGCCCAGTCTTTTCCCTTGACAGACAGGGAAACTCATGCCTATCTATGCTCAGGTTATTCTTGGATTCCTGACCCAAATTGTTCTGTTGGATTTTTGTTGGTTTGTTAAATCAATTTCACCGTTAACTCTATCTCAGCTCACTGATTTACATTCATTGTGCAATCATTCTTCTATCTCCCTAACCAGGATCCTTGGTAAAATCTGACTCTATTCTGACTTCATGCTATTTTTACCAATTTTATATCCTAGATCTCCCTTTTTCTCCTCTTTTTGTAATTCCAGTAACCTGACAGACCTTTGTCACCTTTCATCTAGTTTCTGCAAATTGTTGTTTCTCCATTATCTTCCCCTTCTAGTTGACCTGGCCTGTTGAGTGTTTAAAAATCCCATCTAAGTTTACTGAAATTCTTTTTGGAAGAAGCCAGGATGAAATAAAACTGAATCTTTCTCTGCCTCATTCTCACTATCTTTTTTGCAGACTGTTGCTAATAATCAAGCTTTTTAGTTCTGTAGTTCCTTGACTTAAATAATCTCCACTCTTCAGTGATGAGGTAACATGTTAGACTGTCGTCATTCAAAACTGATTATGTCTAAGATCCTAAACAGGATACCCAGGTGATAGAGTTGGAGACACACTGTGCTTTTTTTTTTTCCATGTCAGATGGGTAATGTAATACGGTTTGAGGGAGGCACATCTCACACATGTGTGACACTCAGTCATCGTACTTATAAACTAGAAAAGGATTATACACTGTTCTAATAACAGACAATAAATAGCTCTTTCTTCTGAAACTGGTTACTGATTTTCTTTTTCTGTGCTCATTCCATGTTCTCCATGCACTTCATTAACTATGGAGCTAGTGAGGGCTCTTATCCTGATGCGATGACTCAAACTTTCATTTTTAAGATGTCTGAGTCATTGTTGGTATGTATAAGATTGCTTTAGGCTTCTATTACCTCAAAGAGGTATCACAGTATAGGTAAAGAAGAAGGACCTTGCCCATGGTCCGACAACTAGTAGTTAGGGCCTTGGCATAGCCATTACGGTATACAGGTTGAATATCCCTTACATGAAATTAGTGGCACCAGAAGTGTTTTGAGAGTTTAGATTTTTATGATTTTGTCATATTGGCATTACACAGTAAAACCTCTGTACTTTGACCCCAAGGGACTCTATGAAATAGGTCAATGTACAGAGGTGGTCAACATAAGGAAGTAGGCCGATTGTGATACATATACTGACATGTGGTGCTTGTCCAGTATATGGAAATTAGGTCAACTTAAGGAGGTGGTCAACTATAGAAGTTTTATTGTAGATTTACTGGTTAAACATCCCAAATCTAAAATTCCAAAATGAATGCCAACAAGATACTGATAGGAAATGCTAATTGGATCATTTCAGGTTTTAGATTTTTGGATTTGGAATGCTCAAGCTATAATAGGAAAAGCAAATGTTTTTAAATCCTTGTACTACTATTTACTATTATTATTATTAGAGATGATGTCTTGCTATGTTGCCCAAGCTGGACTTAAATCCTGGGTTCAAGTGATCCTCTGCCTCAGGCTCCTGAGTAGCTAGGACTAGTCCTGTGGTGTCCACCTTAGATGGGGGATTTCAGAGAAGTTAATTAACCTCTCTAAGTCTAAATTTCTCATCTATAAAGTAGGAAGTGAAGATATCTACCAGAAAGGATTATTATGAAGATTAAACATGAGGTACTTATATAATAATTCCTGGCACAGAGTAGATGCCCACCTTTTTCCCTTTCCACCCATTCAGTACTGGACTCACTTCCTTAACTTGAGGATGGCTAGTTTTTACTTATTAGTCTTCCCTTTTCCTCATAAGACTAGGAAAGATGTAAAATTGTCTGCTGCAGTTTATAAACTCTCTGTTGGCCTTTTAAAAATATTAATAGCTCTGGGGCGGCGCCTGTGGTTCAGCGAGTAAGGTGCTGGCGCCACATACCGAGAGTGGCAGGTTCAAACCCAGCCTCCGCCAAACCGCAACAAAAAATAGCTGGGCATTTTGGCGGGCACCTGTAGTCCCAGCTTCTTAGGAGGCTGAGGCAAGAGAATCGCCTAAGCCCAGGAGCTGGAGGTTGCTATGAGCTGTGATGCCTCGGCACTCTACCGAGGGCAACAAAGTGAGACTCTGTCTCAAAAAATATATATATATATCTTAGTACCATGATGAGAATCTGGCAGCTATAGCATTTGTGCAGATGCTGGGACGCAAGCCTTTGGATCCCCAGGAGGGAGCCAGTCTGTGTAGCCGATCTAGAGATGGAGTTTTCCACCATGTGATCTTAAGCTTTTTTATAGAAGTTACAAAACTGCCCATTGGCAAGGGTTGGCAACAGTAAGAAAAAATTGAGCAAAAATTGAGTTTCTAGACGAAAGCATTAGGTCCTCTAATATGTGGAAGGTGAATGTCTACTGCTTTGTTGCCAGCTCCTCCGTCACACTGGAGCAGCAAGCTTACTGTTCTATACAACATCAGTTACACAGGCCATCCCTGATTTTTAGAGGGTGGGGGATTATACGTGAGTGTGAGTACTGGGTAACAGTGATCATTGGAGGCCATCTTAGAGGCAGACTACTATTGTATTAATTATTTTTTTGCTACATAAAAGTATTGCCACAAATTTAGTAGCCTAAAACAACACACGTTTATTATCTTGCAGTTTCCATGAGTCAGGAGTCTGGTGAAGGTGGCATAGGTCTTCTGCAAGGCTGCAGTCAAAGCAGTTGGTTAGGGCTTGCTTCTCATCTGAGACCCAACTGGGGAAGGATCTGCTTCTAGGCTCTTGTGGTGGTTCGTAGTATTCAGTTCCTTGCAGACTGTTGGACTGAGGCTCTCAGATTCAGGTGGAGGCTGTTCTCAGTTCCTTGCCACATGAACCTCTCATGACACCTCAGCTTGCTTCTTCAAAGCTAGCAGGGGAGAGAGTGTCAGCAAGACAGTAGTTCAAACATCACATAGTGTAAATCACATACAGGAACTCCATCCTTTCACTTTTGCTGTCTTATGTTGTTTTTTGTTTTGTTTGGGGGTTTTTTGAGACAGAATCTCACCTGTTTACCTTGGGTAGAGTGCCATGGCGTGAAAGCTTATGGCAAACTCAAATTCCTGGGCTCAAGCAATTCTCTTATCTCAGTCTCCTGAGTAACTGGGACTATAAGCACTTGCACAACACCTGACTAGTTTTTCTGTTTTTAGTACAGACAGAGGTCTTATTTTGCTCAGGCTGGTCTTGAACTCTTGACTGCTCAGGTGACTGCCCCTCACCCCCACAGCTTCCCAGAGTGCTAGGCCATATTCTGTTGTTTAAAAGCAAGCCACAGGTTCTACCTCTACCTTTCCCGGGAGGGCAGAATTATGTAAGGGTGTGAATACCAGGAAGCAAGAATCATGTAGGCCACTTTAGCATCTGTCTGCCATAACTATGTCTCTTAAGCCCCCTGAGCAGTGTGATGCAGGGTAAGCACTATTACAGGCGTCCTCACCTATGGCCTGCGGGCCACATACAGCCCACCTAGGACATTTATCCGGCCCGCCAGGTGTTTTTGCTGCCATTGCCTGTCCTGCTTAGCAGCCAACTCGTCCTAGGGCCTGCATTCTGGCCCTCCAACGGTCTGAGGGACAGTGAACTGGCCCTCTGTTTAAAAAGTTTGAGGACCCCTGCTCTATTATTTGAATGAATGGGTGTAGTGTGACTGTTTTATTTCCAACTCCTAGCTGAAGTCTTTTTCTTTACTTCCTTCTCTTCTGTTTCAGAGTTACTGATTTATTCTTGAGATTCCCCTATTCTCATCTGTCCTCATGGATGAACTTCAGGATGTTCAACTCACAGAGATCAAACCACTTCTAAATGATAAGGTAAAGATTACTCTGTGTTTGCTAAAATATATGCAAGTCTTTCCTTCTGTTATTAGTTCATTTTCTATATCATCTGAATAGTTACTAACTCAGCATATTTAGCTTGACTTTCAATGGAGGGAATACTGTTCAAAATGTATTTCTTAACCCACTTTTAAAAAAAAAAAAAAAAAAAGAGTCTCAGTCATCCTGGGGTTGAGTCTTGTGGCATCATAGCTCACAGCAACTTCAAACTCTTAGGCTTAAGTAGTCCTCTTGCCTCAGCTTCCCAAGTAGCTGGGACTATAGACACCCACCACAATACCTGGCTATTTTTCTTTCTATTTTTAGTAGAGATGAGGTCTCACTTTGCTCAAGGTAGTCTTGAACTCCTAAGTTCAGGTGATCCACCTACCTCAGCCCCCAGAATGCTATCATTACAGGTGTGAGCCACTGTGTCCAGCCTTTTAACCTACTTTGGTTTCCACAGGCCAAATTCAATGAAGTTACATTTGAGGCTCAGCGCCCATACCACAGTGATTACGGTGTCAGCCATATACACTGAGGCTGGTGGGTTCACTGGCAATTCAAACCTGGCCTGGGCCAGCTGAACAATAATGACAGCTGCGACAAAAAAATAGCTGATGTTGTGGTAGGCACCTATAGTCCCAGCTGTTTGGGAGGTTGAGGTAAGAGAATCATTTAAACCCAAGAGTTAGAGGTTGCTGTGAGCTATAATTCCACAGCACTCTCCTGAAGGTGACATAGACTTTGTTTCAAAAAATAAAAAGTTATATTTGAGATTTTCTTATTTTACAACTAGAAAAGGGAAAAGATAATTTGGCAAAGTTAAGCAGAAAGCATTGGGGTAGGGTAAGGTAGGGTAGAGTTTAACTTTTTTTTCTTTTTTTTTTTGAGACCTCAGTAGAGTGCTGTGCTGTCATACCTCACAGCAACCTGAAACTCTTGGTCTCAAGCGATTCTCTTGCCACACCCTCCTGAGTAGCTGGGACTATAGGTGCCCACCACAACGCCCAGCTATTTTTAGAGACGAGGTCTCACTCTAAAAAGACTGGCTCTAGGCTCGGCGCCTATAGCTCAACTGGCTAAGGCGCCAGCCACGTACACCTAAGGTGGCGGGTTCGAATCCCCAGCCCGGACCCGCCAAACA